TTGGAGTCTCACTCTGTAACCCAGGCTGGAGTGCAGTGGCCACCGCAGCCTCAACCAGCTGGATTCAGGCGATTCTTCTGCTTCAGCCTTCCAAGTAGCTGGAATTATAGGGATGTGCCACCATATCCAGCTAATTTTTTGATTTATTGTAGAGATGAGGTCTCGCCAAGTTGCCCAGGCTGGTCTTGAACCAGGGAGCTCAGGCAATCCTCTCACCTTGGCCTCCCAAATTGCTGGGATTATAGGTGTGAGCCATTGCACCTGCCATTAGGAACAATTTGTAATGCAGTACTGTCCAACAGGGTTTTCTGCAATGACAGAAATGTTCTTTATCTGTGCTGTCCAATATGGTAGCCACTAGACACATGTGGCTATCAAGCACTTGAAATGTGGCTGATACATCTGAGGTACTGAAGTTTTACTTTTAATTAATTTAAACTTAAATAGCCATATGTGGTTCATAATTACCATATTCAACAGTGCAGTGAATGTGCTGCTTTAGCTTATGATTTAAGCGGAAGAGTTGAAAGATATGTTTCTTGTTTAGTTAGAAGTCAAAAACAGTACTAGGTTTTATGCTGAGACAGTTTAATGAATCATTCAGAGTAGGAGTTATATTTTAAAAGAACTGGTATCCAAATATCTGATATTTAGATTATCTATAATCATTCATCCTGTAGAATGCACAGTTCAAAGGATCTATGGTTCTCCACTGCCACAATAAACCCTAAAAGAGCTGTCTATGAAACAAGAGACTTTGTAGTTTCCTTATTTTATGGCCAAATCTCTATCCTCTTAAGCTGGTGAAAAATTCTTTCCAGGAAAGTTTCCACTAAAGTTGTTTTTATTGGCAGTAGTGCAGTTCTTAGGATACAGTAAGTTAAACCAGCCTGCTAGATTTATTGTTGTTATCCTTGTGCTGAGATGAAAGCATAACACTTGTAGTTCTAAACAGTACTCAGCTTTAAAACCCATCTTAACCTTCTATAAAAGGAAAAGAAAACTTATTTCTTCTATCTATATTATGACCAACAGCCTAATGCATATAACAAATAATACCACACACTGCAGTATAAATTAGCCTGTTTTTTTAGCTATTTATCATCCTTTTATTAACTGCAATTACTTCTTTTAGTATTTTAATAAACTTTATGGAAAAGCTACACACTCAATACCACCGCAACCATTTCTTTGTTCCTAGTGACTTTTGAGCCATAAAACAGAAATCTCCCAATTTATTTTAAAGTCACTAGAGAAACTGTGTTCAAAGGCAGTCCCATCAGAACACTGACTGCAGCTTAAATGCTTAATCAATCCTTTTTACTGAACACCGTATACTTATCCTGGATAACTCACAAACAATGCAATTACAATAATCAAAATACCCTTGGAAGATAATGTCTAAAAAAGAAAATGTTTTCCTTCTATAACAGAATGGAGGTAATAGAAGGGCCTATATTAAAGGTGACAGAATAAGATCAGAAAATAATCTAGCTCTTCTGAGTCTCAATCAATATCTCGGTCATTTATTTATTCAACAAATAGTTTTGAATACATTTTATATATATGGGGATAGAAGGATGAACAAAATAGAGTTCCTATGCTCACAGCATTTAGAGAAAGCAAGCAACTTAACACAATAATATGTAAATCCTATCATGGTAGAGGAAATACAGTGCACTATAGGAATTAACAGGGTTTGGAGGCAAAGAAATCTGGTACAAAGTTAGTAACTTTGGAAAGTGGAGGGAAGTGGTGAGATGGGACTGGAGAAGAAGGTAAGCAGAGATTGGTTTATGGGCAATGCTAGACTTCTTAAGAAGTTTGAACTTTATTCCCAGTGCAGTGTAAAGTCATTTAAAATGTTTCCTTTTTTCAGGGAAATCATGCAATCCAACTTATATTTTTAGAAAGAGTATACTAAGTACACTGTGGAAATTGGATAACAGTGAAATGAATACTGTGATGCTAGTTGAGAGATGAGTGGTGATGGTCTGAACTATAGAGTCTTGACATCAAGGATGGAGTAAAGTGAAAAGAGAAATATTATGGCTGGGAACAGTGGCTCATGCCTATAATGCCAGCACTTTGGGAGGCTGAGGTGAACCCATGGGTTCGAGACCAGTCTGGGCAACTTGGTGAGATCTCATCTCAAAAAAAATTAGCCGTGTGTGGTTGCGTGTACCTGTAGTTCCAGCTACTTGGAAGGCTGAGGTGGAAGGATCACCTGAGCCCAGCAGGTCGAGGCTGTGGTGGTTGTGAGCATGGCCACTGCCCTCCACCCTGGGCGACAGAGTGAGACTCCAACTCACCAAAAAAGAAAAGAGAAATATTTAGGTTTTGGGAAAAAAAATTTAGGTTGGGAGGAGGTGTGGAGATGAGAAGGAAGATGAGACATTTAGTCCTGCCCCCTATGTAATTTGACCCAATTCTGGATATGTAACCCAGATAAATATATTGGAGCAACTATCATATATACACCTTGGTGCCAGAGAAGCCAGGTTGAAGACTGTTAAAGATTTGTAAGTAATCAGGATTTTTTGTTAATTGTAACCTTAAGGAGAACTGAAACAAATAATGTAAGAAGAGAGCTTATAGAAGGAACTGCAACATTTCAGTAGCAGGTAGGTCAAGAAAATGAACCTAAAAAAGAATGAGATGTGCTGAAAAGGCATAAGAAAAAAAGAGGGAGTATATATATATATATTTTTAGTAACTAGAGCATATTAATGTATTTCCAGAAGAATGGAGGGTAAATACTATTAAATGGCAGACATCAAGCTACAAGAATTGAAAATGCATATTGATTAATATGTTTCTCAACTTTTTTTTTTTTTTTAATTTATTTTAGAGTTGTAGGGTACAAGTGAGGGTTTGCTACAAAAGTAGGCAGCACGCAGGTGAAGTTTGGGCTTCTAGTTGGCCCTCTTTCCCCTCTGTGTTGCTATGTGCAGCTTTCTTTTTCTTACGGCCTGCAAAGGAGCCTTTTTAGACTCTACTCTCTAACCCCCCTGCCAATCAAACCTCTGCACCACAAAATTAAATTTTTTTTTCAATTGTAAATGGGCAAATTATAGTTTTATATATTTAGGGGTACAAAATGATATAATGATTTATGAATAAAATGTGGAATAATTAAATCAAGTTAATTAATATCTTTATACAATTTTAATGTCACAGAATATTGTCTGTTTATGTACTATAGTATATCTATGCTTTATAAATAAAAATAGTATGATTTTTTTCCCCTTACAAGAAGCAGTTTATGTCTGCCTTGAGAATGCATGATTTAACACATAGAGGACATTGGTGATCTTGGTAAGAGTAGTTTTAGTGGAGCTCAGTGGAATGCTGGAAATAAGATATTGCAGTGAGCTGCGAGAGAAAGAGCAATAGGTGTGAAAAAAAAAGACAGCCGGGTTCGGTGGCTCAGCCTGTAATCCCGCGCCTTTGAGAGGCTGAGGTGAGTGGATTGCCTGAGCCCGCGGGTTCGAGACCCGCCTGGGCAACTTGGCGAGACCTCATCTCTACAATAAATAAAAAAATGAGCTGGGCATGGTAGCGAGCGCCTGTAGTTCCAGCTACTTGGAAGGCTGAGGCGGAAGGATCGCCGGAGCCCAGCAAGTCGAGGCTGCGGTGGCTGGGAGCGGCCACTACACTCCAGTCTGGGTGACAGAGTGAAACTCCAACTCAAAAAAAAAAAAAAAAAGAAAAAGAAAAAGAAAAGACAGTAGATTCAAGAAGTCTAGCTGTGAAGGTGATGAAAAAAACAGGAAAATAAATGGAGTAGTGTATAATGTGAAGGAAGAATATATTCAAATGCTGAAGGGAAGACATGAATAGACAGGGAAAAGCTGATGTAGGAGAGAAGGAATAACTGAAAGAAAGAAGACCCTGAGAAAGTAAGTGAGGATGATACTGAGAGACTAGGTGAAAGAATTTTCCTTCTCTTAGGAGAAGGAACACTTTTTTCCTCTTCAAATACAAGGGAGGAAGGTTGGTATATTTGGCTGCAGGAAGATGATGTTCCTATTCTCTGTGTAATGCAAGAGAGGTCATCTGTAGAGGGACAGAGAATTCTTCTTTACAAATACCATGTGCTATTCATGAATTGAGACATTATAGAACTATTTAAAAATATCTAGTCTGCAAGGAACAGTATACTATGTCAAATGTTTAGAAACAAAAATCATTAAGATTCAGTAAGAAAAACAAACTTTGTTGCAAAGAGAGCTTTCCTACTAAAGATATGAACGTTTCAGATAATTCTTCATTAACCTCCGTCATCTCACTTTTACTCCCGTCTCAACTGAAAGTGTCCCTCTTTCCAAAAATCAATCCTTTCACTTGTAATCTTGATCCCAATTCCTTTCCTTTTCTTCTGGGAAAACCTTTACTGAATCTTCACCGGTTACTTTCTTTCTGCTCCCTCCCAAGCAGATGCCTTGTATTCTTTAAAACAAACTTCCCCCCCCCAACTTGCCACTCTCAGTAATCTTACTTCATGCCCCAAATGAGAAGGATTAGTCCACACTTGCAGTCCTTCAGTCACTCACTCTATTAGTGCATTTTTCTCAAATGGCTCAATGACTTTACAATTCTCAAATCGACGACTTCTCTAAAGACTTCAACTTCTTCTGACCCTTGCAGCATTTTATATCATTGATAACCTTCCCCCAAACAAAACATATAACGCTTTTACATGAAACTTCATCTGTTTTGGTTCTTACCTTGAAAGTTTCCTTCCGGCTTAATTCTCAGGCTTTTAAAAAAATTTTTTAATAAATGTCTTTCTACCATCTCCATCTAAACCAGTTTCAAATTCGATAAAACCCAAACGCCACAAAATTCCTCCTATTATGTCAGGTCTCTTAATTTTATTGTGGCACTTTCTTAAGCATGCAGACTATAAGCTTCATGTTCAAGCAAATCCACCAAATCCAACCAGCCACATCGCTAATCACTTTTCCATACTCACTGCCAGTTTGGATCCCAGTCACCTCTCTTCTGAAGAACTGCAACACCTTCCTCACTGTATTCCCCACCCCAGGCTCTTCCAGGCGCCACCCTCTAACAGGACGTCCGCTCAGATGTCAAGGGTTTTGTCCTCCAAAGCGGAAGCCTGGGGCTGGGATTCTAGGCGTCAATACTCCAGCTCACTGGGGGAGACAAGGCTTTTTCCCGTGCCAGAGCACGGAAAGGGACCCCAACGAGTTTGGCCTCCTGGGCTCAGGAGCCTGAGAACACCGGCTTGCAGATGCACGGCTCCCTTCCGGCCTTGCTGACAAGAAAGCCCAAAGGCCAGGAGTGGGGTGGGAAGCGCGGCCCCGGCCCACACCACCAGAGACGCTTCTGGAACCCAGACTGGAGTCCGGAGCCCCAGCTCTTCAAGCTACTCCCCAGTTTTCTAGCTGTCCCCAATGCGCAGACCTCCCGCCTCCCACACTCACCCCGACACCTGTGCCAGTCAGTGATTCGGCGCGGGGTCCTCTCCCGACAGAAGCTGAGGCAGCGGAGAAGGCTGTGAGGACCCCGCAGTTGGAGTAGCCATTGCATTGCCTGATTAACAGCTACAAAGAAACTCGGTCTACAGTATTAGAAAGATGAAAAAAGCAAGAAGGCGTTAGATAAGAGAAAAGAGTCTCTTGAGGCCTAGGATCTAAATATTCTACATCATCCAGAATCTAGAAGAATGGTGTGTTTCCCATCATCTAGATTCAGGCACTCGTCTGCAGCCTAACTCAGTCTGGGGTCCCCTACGGCTGGGTAGGCGGGGCCAGGAAGGGGCGGGGCATTAGCTGTGGCAGCCGAGGGTAGAGCCAATGATTGTGGATGACAGAGGTACAGAATGAGCGGAGTCTGGAGGGGCGGGGTTTGGAGCAAAGAAGGCGGTGATGCGTGGAGGGGGCGGGGCCAGAGAGTAGTAGGCGGGGGTGAGCAGTTGAGTCTAATTGGGGCGGGAGCGTGAAGATGGCAGCAGCTGAGGAGGAGCCCAAGCCTAAAAAGCTGAAGGTGGAGGCGCCGCAGGCGCTGAGGTGAGCGCTGCCCGACGTGGGGAGGAGGGTGACTGCGCCTGCTGCAAGCCAGGGCTCACGTGGGGTTGCGCGGCCCCGGCGCCGGGTGGTGTCCCGCTACCCCCACGAGGCTAACACGCAGGACTTGCCACGCGGGGAGGTGCCCGCGTGGCCGCGACCTCTTGCCTGGCGCTCTCTCAGTCTGTGTGGCGGAGTCACCGCCTGCTCCGGTGCAGCGCCGGCTCCTGCAACCCTTGGCCAATCGGAGCGGCCGGCAGGGGGGCTGAGCCGACTGCCAGCGCCACGTGCTAGCTTGCCCTGGTTGGGCCGGGACGACCCCGGAGGATCGCGCCGGAGCTGGGTCCAAACGTTTTGTCACCTTCTCTTCCCTGGGGGATGGCGAGGAGGAGGCCCAGCGCATGCTTTACCCTGACACGAAGTCAGAATTCTTGGGGATTTTTCGGAAAGTGTCGCGTAAGGGCACCTTGACTTTCCTTTTCGATTTCGTTCTGAAATCCCGCACTTTAAGAACCCTCTACCAGGCACCCGGACCCCGCCTCCGAGGCTTTGCCAGGGGCAGCATTTGGCTGAATGGATAGGGATGGTTGATTTTTCTTTTTTTATTTGCACTTTTTGGCGGCAGCGGAGATAGTTCTGCCCATAACACCGGCCTCACTCGTGATTGATGTTGCAACTTAAAAAAAATCGTTTGTTAGAATTTTCCTTCCAAATAAGTATGAAGTGCAGCATGCAGTCTGATGATTAAAATGTTCGTTGGAAGGCAGTAGTTTTTCTATCTAAAAATAGACATATCAAACTGATTTAAAACTAATGAGACACTCCTGATTATGCAAGATAAAGCCCATTTCTTCCAACATCACTCTTCTTCACCTCCGAAAGAATGAATCATTCACAATTGAAAATAAAAGGTCACTTGGTGAGTGTGTTCACGCTGTTTTGAATGGAGGGTGACCAAATCCCTGCCAGTGCCTTTAATGTATTCCAGCTTCCCTCAAAGGGTTAGTGTGCCTACCTTATACCAAGAACAAAAACTTTTTAAAAAAACAACTCAGGATACTCTATTTTTATTTTGAGTTTTCAAATTATATGTAGAATAAAGCAGTGAGGGCTTTTGAATCAGACTACCTGAGTTCAAGGCATGCGCTTTCCTTACTCAGCCCATTATTAGAGTATTTCCTTAAAAGGTACCTCCTTCACCTTGCTTCCTCCTTAAAATTGGATAGGTGTAACTTTTCCCTACTATCCTACTAGACATACAACCCTTAGATTTTTCCTTAATAAAAATAATTATATATAATACTGATCCATTCTTAAAGTGCTTTCCTGTTTATTGTCTTTGGACAACTCTATGATTGAAGAAGGCAAGACTTACTCTTATTTTACAGATGAGGATATTGATGAACATGAAACAGTTAAGGAACAGAAATATGAACCCAGAGCATCTGAGTGCAAGCTTATTTGACTCTACTGTGCCTACTTTTACACAGCTACCCAAGATACGCTTCTCTCTGTTTATGCCTCCTTAAAAATAATGATAAATAATGATGTTTAATACTTAAATATGCATGTGTCACTCACTGTTTCAGCACCTTACATATTTTAACTCACTTGATTCCCTGACAATCCTTTAAGGTAGCTACTATAATTGTCTTCATTTTATTGACAAGAAAACAGGCACAGAGATAAATATTTGATATGTAATATTTGAAATGTATATGTCATTGGTGTCTACTTAAAGCTTATAGAATTCGTTAGGCAACTAAAATTCCCTTTATACAATATTAACTTAGTACCATCTGTAGACATAAGTTGAAAGATTAGATACTTGAATACTGGGACAAATCTCTTTAATTCTGTGCAGAGACCTTTTGGGATTGGCTCTTTCTACTTTTATTATGTTAGTTTGGCTTTCAGGGTTGAAATGTGATATACATTTGAGTAGTTAATTTGAATTAATCTATGATGATTTTCTTGACGATTAAGGGATAGCTACCAGTTTTGGTTAAGGAGAATAGCTTATAGGGCTAAGCATAATTAATGTGTAGAATTGGTCACTGGGGAAGAAATAAATTAATGAGATATGTTTGTAGATGTCAGGGAAAGGATTTAGGGATTGACGAGAATTTTGGCTAGCTCTAGTACAATAGTTCTAAATCGGGAAATTTTGTTCTATAGGGAACATTTGGAAAGGTCTAGAGTCATTTTTGGTGGGGAATGCTACTGGCATGTAATGGGTAGAGTTCAAGGATGCTACTAAATACAATACATAGGACAGCCCCCTACAACAAAGAAATTCCCAAACAAAATTGTCAATAGTGTTGAGGTTGAGAAATCTGCTCTAGGGGAAGCATCCAATAAGGCTAGTGTCCCTTTCTCAAATATTCATTACTTTCCTAGGCAGGGTTGCTTTTTAGGATATAACAGTTGCTAAAGTTGCAAATAAAGAATTAGACTTTAACATGTTTTCAGGTGGGGTTAAGGAAAAGAAGGAAACATTAATTGAGTGGCAGATGTTATACTAAGTGGTTTATATATGCTGTCTCATTTAATCCCAGTGACCTATGAG